TTGGCTACTGCTGTTCTGGGTCTGGCTGCTCCCACCCCGGCTGCTCTGGGCCTGGCTTCTCCGGGCCCGGCCACTCCAGGTCTGGGTGTTCCTGGACTGGCCACCCTGGGCTTGGCCGCCTCTGCCTCATGCCTGGCTGCCACTGCCCCAGGTCTGGCTGCTCCAGTGCTGGCTGTTGATGTTCTGGTTCTGGCTGCTGTTGTACTGGGGCCTGGCCGTTGCTGCTCTGGGCCTGGCTGCCACTGCCTTGTGCCTGGCCACTCTAGGCCTGGCCGCCGCTGTTCCAACATTCTGTCCTTTTTTTTTTCTTTTTTTTTTTTTAAACGCATTTATGTTGCAATGTTGGCTGGTGAGTTGAGTTCTGACTTAGTCTTTGATTTTTCAAGATCTTCTTTGTATTCTTTCTTAAGTAATTTTACTATTTTTTGCTCTCACTTGATTTCTTCACATTGAGAACTTCTTTGGTTTCTTCCTCCTTGTTCTGGGAGCTCAGCAGGTTGGCCTGTGGCACCCCTTTGTTCTCCGCAGGCTCCTGCGCTGCTTCAGCCTGTTGCCGGGGATGGCGCCGCCCAGGAAGCAGCCCCCGGCCTTGGCTCCATTGCCCGAGCTCAGTGGTCAAAGGCTCAGGGGCACCCACGCCCCCAGGGGCCCCGTGGCCCGCCTCCTTGGTGGTGCCCGGTTGGCTGGAGTCCGGCAGGGGCTTCCACTCCCCTCTGCGTTCCCCCAGCCCGGAGCTTTTTTTCTCCTTCCCGCTAGGGGAGTCCAGCATCAGAGTCAACAGACTGTCCTCTGCGCGCAGTTTGCGAGAGTCCCGGGGGCCCGGCCTTTCGCCGCTCTCCCCAGACTCCACCTCACAGCCCCGTCTCCCTCTGCCTGAGCCTGGGTCCCCAGGGATTAGCCCAGAACTGGGGTTCGGAGCAGTCTGGACTGAGGCCCAGCGCCGCCGGAGGCCTTGTTTCTTCCGGCTAGGGCAACCCAGCATCAGAGTCAACATTCAGTCCTCTGCGCTCGCATTGCGCGCGACTCCGGGGGCCCTGCCTTTCGCCGTTTTTCCGCCTCACGGCCCCGTCTCCTCCTGCCGGAGCCTGGGTCCCCAGGGTCTGGCCCATAACTGGGGCTCAGCGCTGCCGGTTCGGGGGGCTCAGCACTGCCAGTTCGGGGGTTCAGCCCAGGCTGGGGGTTTTATTTCCTTCCTGCTAGGGAACGCCAGGCAGCTCCCCGCCCTCTCCTCCTCTCCGGCTGCGACCTCTCCGTGCGCGCGTGCGGGCGGGCGCGCAGCATGTCTCCGTACCTTAGGCTTTTTTTCAGCTCCTCTGATTTTCCTTTTGCTTTTCTCTTTCCTTCTTGTTGTAGAATTTTCAGTCAGTCGACTACCTGTAGCTCTGGGCAATGTCCACTCTACATTTTAGTTGTATTCCATTGAAATTGTTGTGTGCTGCCGCGGCTAGATGTCTACCCGAGCAGCCATCTTGGATCCTCCCCATGAATCTATTCTTTATTGAGCTTCTGGTCCCCTTTCATTTTGCACCAGGGCAGTGTCTCACTTGTTGGCCCCAGCCCTGGCCCCTGCTCTAATCAAGTTGTACCCCCGATCCCCACCTCACTCCTGGCCCCCTCTCATGACACTCCTCAGAGGCCTTCGGTTCTCTCCCAGGTACCATGTGAGTAAATCCTTCTAGAACTCTCTCCCCCATCACACTGCTCCAGCCACACCGGCCACCACGCTTCTCCCAGACACACAGGCCCGCTCTGCCTCGGGGCCTTTGCCCTCCCGTGCCGTCTGCCCGGACTGCTTTCCCCTCGTGTCCACATGGCTTATTTCCTCACTTCCTGCAGCTCCCTGCTCAAATAGAATGTCCCCTTCTCATGTGGCTCCTCCCAGAACATTCAGACGCAATGCACTCCCTCCCCCGAATCATCTGGCTATTCAGTGGCTGCAGCCATGATTTATTATTTCTCCAAAGCCTGTGGGGTGGTTGGGCTCCGCTGGACGGTTCTTCTGCTCCCAGGTGGTGTTGGCTGGGACCACTCTTGCGGCTGCATTCAGCTGGAGCACCTCGGGGGCTGGCATGTCTAGATGGCTTCAGGCTCCCCTCCCTGTGGCCTGCCTCTCCCCAGGGTCTCTCCAGCCGGGGAGTGGGATCTCTCTCCGTGGTAGCTCGAGACTCTGAGGAGCTGTGGAGACAGAGGCTTCAATGAGGGGAGCTGGTGTCCCCGCAGGGACCTCGGTTCCTGACTGTTGGTCCCTAGACCTTCAGCTCCTTCCCGGTGCAGGTTGGTCCCCACCCTTTGACCCCATCTCAGCTCCGTATCTCTCCACTCCTCCGTGACCGGTGCCTCTGACGCTATTTTGCTCTGGTTCCTTCTGGCGTGGTCTCTCGTCCATTGTAACGTCCTGCCTGGTTCCCCCCTGCTTTTCCCTTGGGGAGTCTTTCTTCCCACCCCACTCCCCCTTTCTCGGGGGTGGGGCGGGGGCTTTGCCTCTTTTCTTTCACGTCTCTCCCTACTCCCATCTCCCTCTTTGTCTCACTGCTGCCACTTATAGCGATGAGAGGAGAGAGCATGGAGAAAGGCATCCGGAAGAATCAGCACTGAGCTGGGACTTGGAAGGACAGGTTGGTGATGGTGGTGATGGGGAGGGGAGAGGGGGTAGGAGAGGATGTGAAAACTCAGGGGGTAAGGAGGCCAGAGTCATGGGGCCTGGACAGCAGCTGCTGAACTGGGCGTGGATGCTGCCCAGCTGACCCCATGGGCACGAGTCCTGCAGGACTAGGCAGGGCTGCTCCAGTGGCCACGTGGGGTTTCTGAGCCGGCCTCTCCCCTGCGCTTCCTGTGGTCCCAGCAGTGCTGGCTCAGCTAAATCCCCTCCCTCCCCACAGGGGCGGGTGAGTAGATGGCTCGGAGAGGGAAAAGGAACGGTTTGTTTCAGGAACTGTGTCCCTGACAGAGGAGAGGCAGAGGGTGGGTGCTGAGCGGGGCCAGGCCCTCAGACACCGGGACGCTGTCCTGGGTGTCATGGCGACCACGGGCAGGTCTGGAACCAATCTGGGTGTTAGGAAGATCTCTGGCTGGGCCCCTTAAGGGGGCCAGGGCCCAGAGTGACTGACATTGGCCCCATGCGTAGCTGGGGGGTGGGGTCCCTGCCCCAGGGTGGGACCTCACCCCCTGACATCACTGTCCCATTATTGCACGTGGGCTGGCTGACCAATAAGCTGCGGCTGGCTATGGTGGGTCCTAGCAACGGGGTCTGCCCTCGGGCTAACAGGGGAGGAGAGCCTGTCAGTGGGGAGCGTGTGAGGGGAGGAGGAGAGCCTACAGGGCAGGTGAGCGTCCCCAGGGCGGTCGCTGGGGCCTGTGGGTGCAGCTTCCCCTCCCAACGCCACCCCGGGGCCCTGGGTCTGTCTGCCCCTGGCCGCGGGCGGCCCAGGCTCCACACCTGAGATGGGGAGGCCGGGGGGCGGGGGAGAAGTGGGCCTAGGGTTTCGGGGACTGGGCCGACCTGGGATGGGGTCAGACCTGGTGGAACAATGCAATAAGGACACATCTCTGTGGATCGGGGGATGGAGGTGGAGACGGGGGAAGCCAAGGAAACAAGGTGGAAAGGGGGGGTGGGGTGGGGTGGGGGGCAAAGACGGCTGCCAGAGGCAGAGCCGCTCCTCAGAGGGGCAAGGAGCCGGGACCTGGGAGTGAGGCCTGGTGGTGGCTCGGAGCAGAGGCTGAGCCTCAGTCCCTCTCCATCCGATGGGGGCAGTGACGGGAATGTGGTTGTCTCTCCCAAGGTTCTCTGAAGAGTCTTAGTCAGTGAGGAAGTGTATCTTAGAGGCGATGGCCCCGAAGACAGTGTGACTGGGAAGAGGGAGGGCCAGGGCAGCTCCCAGGTGAGGAGGACAGATCCCAGAGGCCCTGTGCGGGCTCCAGGGCGTCGGGGGGACTGGGCCTGGCGAGGCCACGCAGGGCTGGGCGTCCGCTGAGGGGGACCCCGGTGTGGGGGCTTCTCCCGCCCGCTGGGCCCAGGCAGTCCTCACAGTGAGCCTAGAGACAGACCCCGGAGGCAGGCAGGGTCCCCGCACCCGGGCGGACAGGCAGCCGAGGCTCAGAGAGGGCAGGGGCGCGCTCAAGGCCACGCAGCTAGAAATATTAATATTGACAATAGCACAGGCCGCCTGCTCCGGGCCCGGCGCCACTCCGAGTGCTCTGTGCGACTGACTGGTGGGATTCTCAACAACCTGAGGCGGTGGCGCCTGCAGAGGAGAAAAGGGGGGCAGAGTGTTGAGGAATCTGCCCCCAATCGCTCAGGAGCCTGTGGCAGAGCCAGGACCTGACCCCGGGATTGGGGGTGCTTCACCCTCACTCCAAGGGGCCACTGTCCTTGCCTGGCCCGGGAGCTGGGCGGGAGCCGGACGGAAGCCCTCTCCCTGGCCGGCCTGGCTGCCTCACTGGGCCTCACTGGAAGGCCCAGCCCGGAAGAGAGAGGCGGGGTGGCTAGATCAAGCGGTGTTAAGGCTTCCAACCGTGCTGACAGCTAAGCATCAGGCCAAGAGCCGGGCCTCTTAGGTGCGGGGCCTCATGTGACTCGGCAGGTCACAGGGCCCACGAAACTGCCCCTTTCCCCCGGGGGTTACCCCAAGACTCCTTGGGAGGCAGGCCAGCCCCTGTGTCTGGGCCGGAGAAGCAAGCAGGCTCAGAGAGGTGCCCCGTTCCGCCTCGCTAGGGGCAGAGATGGGATGTGAGACTGGGCCTGCGGGACTCCAAGGCCCCTCTGGTTCCTTCCCAGAATGTCCCCCAGGGAGTGTGGGAAGGAAAGGGCTGTGGGGAACCTGAAAGGCCCTCCTCACATCCTCTGTGTCTCTCTCCCTTTCTCTCTCTCTCTCTCTCTCTCTCTCCCCCACCCCCCACCCCGCCCCAGGCCCGGAAGGCGAAAAGGCTCCCTTCTCCCCGAGAAGTCAGGACCAGCCGGTCCGAGCCTCGCCCATCGGCCCTCTGAACCACCACCAGTCGTCATGGCCGCCTCCAAGTGCCCCGGCGGGGAGGAGGAGACCACCATCCTCATGGCCAAGGAAGAGCTGGAGGCCCTGCGCAGCGCGTTCGAGTCCGGGGACATCCCGCAGGCCGCGTCCCGCCTGCGGGAGCTGCTGGCCACGACGGAGAGCTCCCGCCTGGAGGTGGGCGTGACGGGCGAGTCGGGCGCCGGCAAGTCGTCGCTCATCAACGCGCTGCGGGGCCTGAGCGCCGAGGACCCGGGCGCCGCGCTCACGGGCGTCGTGGAGACCACGATGCAGCCGTCGTCCTACCCGCACCCGCAGTTCCCCGACGTGACGCTGTGGGACCTGCCGGGCGCCGGCTGCCCGGGCTGCCCCGCCGACAAGTACCTGAAGCAGGTGGACTTCGGCCGCTACGACTTCTTCCTGCTGGTGTCGCCGCGCCGCTGCGGCGCCGTGGAGACGCGCCTGGCCACCGAGATCCTGCGCCAGGGCAAGAAGTTCTACTTCGTGCGCACCAAGGTGGACGAGGACCTGGCGGCCACGCGCAGCCAGCGGCCGTCGGGCTTCAGCGAGGCGGCGGTGCTGCAGGAGATCCGCGAGCACTGCGCCGAGCGGCTGCGCGCCGCCGCGGGCCTGGCCGAGCCGCGCATCTTCCTCGTGTCCAACCTGTGGCCGGGCCGCTTCGACTTCCCGCTGCTGCTGGCCACCTGGGAGCGCGACCTGCCGGCGCACCGGCGCCACGCGGGGCTGCTGTCGCTGCCGGACATCTCGCTGGAGGCGCTGCAGCGCAAGAAGGACATGCTGCAGGAGCAGGTGCTCAAGACGGCGCTGGTGTCCGGCGTCATCCAGGCGCTGCCCGTGCCCGGCCTGGCCGCCGCCTACGACGACGCGCTGCTCATCCGCTCGCTGCGCGGCTACCACCGCAGCTTCGGCCTGGACGAGGACTCGCTGGCCAAGCTGGCCGAGCAGGTGGGCAAGCAGGCGGGCGACCTGCGCTCCGTCATCCGCTCGCCGCTGGCCAGCGAGGTGTCCCCCGAGGCCGTGCTGCGGCTCTACTCGCAGTCGTCGGACGGCGCCATGCGCGTGGCGCGCGCCTTCGAGCGGGGCATCCCCGTGTTCGGCACGCTGGTGGCCGGCGGCATCAGCTTCGGCACCGTCTACACCATGCTGCAGGGCTGCCTCAACGAGATGGCGGAGGACGCGCAGCGCGTGCGCATCAAGGCGCTGGAGGACGAGGAGGAGGAGGACGAGGAGGCGGCGGCGGCGCCTGGAGGCAGCGGCGGCGGCGGCGGGCTCAGCCTGGAGGCCGCGGGCGACGGCGGCGCGGAGAAGGGCGGGGCCCCCGGGGAGGGCGGCGGCGAGGACGCCCCGCTGTCCACCCGCCGCAAGCTGGGCCTCCTGCTCAAGTACATCCTGGACAGCTGGAAGAGGCGCGACCTGGAGGAGAAGTGAGAGCGCAGCCCCCCGACCCCCCTGCCTCGCCCCACGAACCTTAAAACAAAGCCAGCCAGCCAAACGCCAAAGGCCCCTGTGGTGGTGATTGCGCGCCGCGGGGCTGAGGGTGGTGCAGGGCAGAGGGGGGGACAGGGCCGGCCCTCGGAGGAGAGGGGGCCAGGGGAGAAGGGGGTGGGAGGGCCAGATGGGAAGCAGGGGGGGTCCCCCGAGTGGAAGAAGGATTCACTCAACTGGGACAGGAATTGATTCTGGGGGCGGGGGGGGGGGGGGAAGGTTTAAGGGATGGGTGATGGGCCCAGGGCTCATTGGTGGTCTCTCTCCCTAGCCCCTAAGTGGCCCCGGGGGATGTGTGGGGTGACAGGGCAACCCAGCCTGGATGTAAGACAAAGACAAGCGTGGACCTACAAGGGTGGCTGAGCGGGGTCAGTGCCCGCCGAGGTGCTTATTTTAGCTGCAAGGTCATTCACATCCCTTTCTGAGAACCCCGCGTCCTGAGGCTGCCTCTGGAGGGGGGAGGGGCAGCCAATCGGTGCCCAGGATTGACACAATGGAGCCTAGCAACCAACCGGTTAAGCAGAGGTGGGCAGATGGACATCCTGGGCCTGTGAGTGATGGTGGGCCGGGAGGCCGGCCGAGGGCGCCCCATGGCCCCTGGGCTGGCCTTGGTGCAGAGGTGGTGGGAGGGGGTGGGGCAGGCGGTTTCTCTGAGCATCAAAGCAGAGAGAATGGTTGTTTCGGAAAGATGGCGCGTGTGTGTGTGTGACTGTGTGCTGATGAGCGTGCTGTGTGCTGGCTGGGAGGAATCCTGGCAAGTCTCCATGATATTGACGCCATGAGTCTAAGGTAGAGAGTAGTTTGCTGAAATGGGGTTACCTGTGTGTGTGTGCGTGTGCATGTGAGAACACTGGGATTGTGCTGAAAGGCCCTGAGTGTGAATGATGGCGACCGTGTTGGGATCTGAAAGCTGCATGTGGCTATGACAGGAAACGTGCACACACGTGGCTGAGCATCTCTGGGTCTGGACCGGGCACCCAGTGAAACCAAACTCCTTGGCTGGTTCAAGGATCACATGATTGAAATTGAAGGACTCCCAGGCTGGGGTTCTGGAGGTTCTGGACAGGGTGGCTTGCCTGGGCTTCTGTGGGCTTGGACAGGGTCAGGCTTAGCTGCAGAGTTCCCAGGAACTCAGAGTGCTCAGGCGGGTACGAGGCCGGTGGCAAAGCGGGGACTGTGGTGCAGGAAGCCAGCTTCACCCAGGTGCTCACACACAGTCCCTGTGGGTTCCCAGGAGCTGGAGATGGTTCTTGCCTCATCTGGGGGCCTCAAATGATCCCTAACCCCAGGACACAGCTGACTCCGAGGGTCCGCTTTCACCTGGACCATTAAAGGGGCGCTGACGCTCTTGGCTTTGCCAGAGGGTCCCTTTTCCCAGAGGCCTCACATTCACTGCCTTGCCGGGACTACGGGGGCCCACATGGGTCTTTCTGCACCAAAAAGTGTGTGGGGATCATGGTGGGGAAATCCCAGTTGTGTAAGACATAATCCTTTCCAAATCCACTCTCACACCACAGCTCACTCCTTCTAGATACCTGTGGGCCCTCAGACATCACCCTAACACAGGACTCTCTGGCCCCAGGATGCAGAGGGGGTGTGAGTAGGGAGTGCTCGCACCACATTGGGCTGAAGGGTCGCTTCTGTCTCCAGCCAGTCGCATGTCCTGGCCCTCCTTCCTCATCTCTCCACTCCCCATCTCCCACTTACACGCCCGGAGCCCCTGCTCAGCTCAGGTCTCGCCCCTCCACCCAGTTCCTGCTCCAGCCCCTTCCTCGCCTCATCTCCCAGGCTCTGGACTCCCTCCCCATGAGGCCACAGGAGGACTCACAGCAGACTGCTCCCTCACGGCTCAAACCCTTCCCATGGCTCCCACAGATAAAGATCAAGCTCAGCCCGCAACCCGAGCCCTGCCCCCGCTGGCCCTGCCTGAGCCCCGTCAGCAGTAAGACCGGGGCCTTCCTGAACCAGCAGAGCTGGGAGGCTGCGAGGAGTCCTCTCTCCACCCGCAGGTGAGGAGGCGGCACCCACCCTCGTGGGTGTAGGAAACAAAGGCGGCAGAGGGGACATGGCTTGCTTAGCGTCGCCTGGCAAGTCCCTGGCGCGGCAGGGACTAGACGCAGTCGTGAAGTTCCACGTCAGCGCTGGCAGCCCGTCCATCCCATGACTGAGGACTCCAAGCCCAGAGGCAGATCCGAGGTGCTAGGTGCACCGAGGCTCCGGAGCAGACGGGCCCATAGAAGCCAGGCCGCGAGGTGGGCAATGTTTCCACAAACGCACCAGGTCCCCTGGGTCTCTCTTCCTGGCGTTGGAACTGCAGCACCCAGAGGTCCTGGCACACGAGGCGCTGAATCGGGGGGCACACCCAGGGAAAGTGTCAGGGGGGCGGTCCATGTCCCGGCTCTGGTATAAGCTGGGACTTCCACCTCCCGGAGCCTGTCTCCCCCTCTGTAAAACGGGGACTTCACGAAATGATGCATGTGTTTGGACAGAGGCTGGCCCAGAGCAAACAGTAAATATGCTGTTAGCGATGATGAGGGTTCCAGCTCTTAATCACTGACCTCTGTTGACCGCAGTGCCTGGTGCAGGGTTATTTATTATAAGAATTGGGATTCTAGGATCTGGAGACCGAAGTCCCAGTCCCACCCGCACACACTAGCTGGAGGCCTCGGGCAAGCGCGCTCTCCGCTCACTGCTGAATGTGGATCGTAAGGGGACTGATCTTTTTTGGCTCTTGAGGACCTGATGATGCCCTGCAGCAGGGCAGGGACAGTAAAGCACTTGGCACCGGGCTGGGATACGGTCACGCTCAGTACCATTACTGCTGACGCCGTTACTGCCCATGTCTTGGGCTTGCTGAGGGCTGGAGAGGAGAGCGGGCAACTCGGGGTGAAAACACTCCCTTGCCTGTCCTGCCAAAGGTCATCAAGTCCCAGAGACGTGGCACGGGGTCAGGCAGGCCATGGACAGCCAACTTTTCCAGTCCAGGATATCGCAGCTCTCCATGGACTCGGGGGCTCTCAAGGAGACCTTTGAGGCGGGGAACCTGCCAGCGGTGGCCGCCAAGCTGCAGGCCACACTCCACGCGCTGGACAGCGTCAAGCTGGACATCGGCGTCACCGGGAGAACAGGCTCGGGCAAGTCCACCTTTGTCAACGCCATCCGGGGGCTGGGAGACGAGGACCCCAACTCGGCCGGCACGGGCGTGGTGGAAATGACGGTGGAGCCCACGCCATACCCGCACCCCAAGTTCCGCAACATCAACATCTGGGACCTGCCGGGCATCGACACGCCCACCTTCCAGGCCGACGAGTACCTGCAGCGGGTGCTGGCGGACCGCTACGACTTCTTCGTCATCATCACCTCGGACCTCTTCACGGCCGGCCACGGCCAGCTGGCCCGCGGGCTCCTGCAGCGGGGCAAGGCCTTCCACCTCGTCCGCTCCAAGGTGGACGTGGACGTGGCGGCCTCGTCCCGCCGCCGCCCCAGGACCTTCTCCGAGGCGAGGGTGCTCAGCCAGATCCGGGAGGACTGCTGGCAGCGGCTGAAAGGTGAGGTGCCCTCTCCGGGGGTCCTGGGGGTGGATGGATCCTTGGGGGGGGGGGCTACCCGCCTCGCCCCCTTTGTCTTCCAGCTGAGACTCAAGAGTGGGGAACGGGCCACCTAAGGTCACACGGGGAGGCTGAACGAGGCCTCCCAGGGCCACGCTGCCAGCTCGGCCCATCCATGACCTACACTGGGGCGGACAAGCCCTCCCGGTTCTTAGGATGGCAGGTGCTTGCCCTTCAGCAGCAGCCATCGGGAACACTGAAAAGATGCAGGTCTACTACTCACAGGACCTGGACTCACACAGCACCCCTGGGGCCACGCAGCGAGGTCGCAGAGAACAGTGGGCCTGGGTGCTGCTTTCACTGGGCCTCGGGTTCCGGTGTTAAATGTAAGAGCAGGAACGTAAGGCGCAGGAGGAGAAAACAAGTAGCCCAGGGGGTGAGATACTGAAATCCACCACGTTCTCTGACACAGGGCGGGGAGGAGGCAGCGTGGTCCTCGGGGCTGGCCAGCCTGTCTATTCCAGGCAGCCCTCTTTGACACGGATGCCTCCTCCTCAGTCAAAGCTTAAGTCAGGCGCGTGTGTTACAAAAAAGCCAACGTCAGGCCTCACACTCCATTTCCTGGGCGTTGGCACCTCCTCAGTCACGGCGACAGAGGGCCGATCACGTGCATCAAGGAAGGAAATAGTATGTATTGGCTTGTGTGCTAGTTGCCAGGCTATGCAGATGCTGGCGCCTATGGCTGGTGGCACCAACGTTCACTGAGGGCTCAGCACAGGTCACACAACTCAGTTCACGACCATAACATCCTTACCAAGTAGGTAAAACGATCACCTTAATTTTACAGACCACCGGGGTTTGGCAACTTGCTCAAGGCCACACAGGTAGCAAGGCTCCTGCCTGAACCCAGGCAGCCTGGCTCCAGGGTCCACACTCCTCAGCCACAGGCCGCGCGGACTCCTGGCTCGCGCTTGAGCCCAGGTAGCTGTCAGGCCCGCGGCTGCTCTGACGTGGAGATCACTGAACGGTGGTGCTCTTGCCTCCTGCAGCGGAGGGCCTGAACAGCCCCAAGATCTTCCTGCTGTCCATGTTTGAGCTGGCCAAGTACGACTTCTGCCTGCTGGAGGAATCGTTGGTGGAGGGAGTGGAGAGCCACAAGCAGCATGCACTCGTGGTGGCCCTGCCCGCCATCTGCAAGGCCATCCTGGAGAAGAAGGAGGCCTCGCTGCGGAAGCACGTCTGGCTGGTGGCCGCGGTGGCCTGTGGCATCAACCCGAGTCCTGTGCCCGGAGTACAGGACGTGGCGTGTGACCTCGACCGGCTCACGCACGCCCTGGAAGGCTACCACCACAGCTTTGGCCTGGACGAGGACTCCCTCGTGAAGCTGGCCGAGCAGACGGGCCAGCCCCTGCACCGATTCCTGGAGGCAATACAGGGCCCGAGGGCCACGGTCACCAGGGAGCTGGTGGTGGACCTGCTCGGCCAGGCCTCCAGGGACGCCTCCATGTTCACCCAGGAGCTCCTCCATGTGCCCATCCTGGGCGCCCTGGCAACCTGCGGCATCTCCTTTGCCACCGTCTACCAGATGCTCCGCATGTCCCTGGATGCGGCGGCCGAGGATGCCCACACGCTGATCAAGATCTTCCAAAACTCCAGTGAGCACAGGCTCTCAGAGAACAGCAACCAATAACCAGCCCCCGCCCAGGCCGGCTGGGGGGGAAGGAAGGGCTCAGTCCGTCTCCGGCTGGGAGGTGTGGGGATGAGAAGGAAATCAAGGTCCGACTCTCCTGACTCAGCCGTGTGCTGTCTCGTGTTCTTGTGCTCTGGTCTTGTGCCCTCTGGAGCCATTGCCGCCTGCCCACTTCCCCACTCTGCAACCCTTCAACCAGCAGTCCCCCTGGGAAGGGGGAGGGGATGGGGCCATGGACAAGAGCTCAGCTGTCTGCCTGGAGAGGCTGTTAGGAGCGCCTGGGCAGGATGGGGGGTGGCAAAGGATGCAAAAGCATTTCTGTAAGAGGGCAGCGGATGTCACAGGATCCTCTGAAGGATCCCAGGGCTCATTAAGGAAGGTCAGCAAGTGGCAAGGCCAGAGCCTGGTCTGGGCGTCACACCTCCCAGACTGCAGCCCTCCCGAGAGCGGCAGAGTCCCCACTTCCGGCCAGACCTTGCTGGCCTCGGTGCTTTCTTCAGCTGTGCTTTTTCTTGACACGGACATCAGGACTCTCTGGGTCCGCCCGAGGGTGGGGGAAGCAGGGAGATTAAGAGGGGCATAGTGCGGTGGTAGACAGATGAGACTAGCTGGGTAGACTACTACTGACTGCTTTATGGAAGGGTGGAGTAGCATGATTTGACAGGACTAATTTGGGATGTGGGTGGGGTGACCAGACCAATTCAGAGACATACTTTGTGAAATACTGAGATTATATACTGTATTTAGCTGAGCAATTGAGAGGGTACTAACTGAACTGTATGGTGTATTTAACTGGGGGTAGGTCTGGATTTAAATGAAAAGTAGGGACCATTTAAAAAAATTAAAAAAAATTTTTTTTTTAAATGGGAACATATCTGAAGGACCATTTTTTAAAGAGCAGATGAGGTTTTTTAGGGAAAGGAAGCCACCATATTTAATCAACAACAGGTTAATCATGTGCCAGGGTCCGGTCTGAGTATTTGAACACAGCCAGACTGGCTTCAGCCACGGGGAAGCACTATATTTAACCAACTGCACCTAACTAGGAACATACTCTATTGCTAACCAGGTGATAAGCTAGGCGTTGTATTTAGGCATTTCACCAAAGGCAGGCACTACCTTCAAGTGAGAGCAGACGGTACAAGGGCAGTCAGTGACTTTTCCTACCCACAACACGAACCGAGGCCTGAGGGAAACAGAACCCCCGTACCGAGGGGCTTCCTCCCTAACTGAAAGGTCTTCCCTCCCAGCGAGTCTGTGACCGACACCGGATCAGGCAGAGGAAGTTCCTTCAGGCTACAGGGGGTGGCCGGGGTGGCCAAGGATAATCTGCCCGCGGGGTTGGGACCCAAGCGTGCCCTGCTCCAGGGTGGCATGCCGGGAGAAAAGAGGAGGGGCACAGCATAAGCTTGCATGACGGTCTTTATTCGCACCACCAGGTCTGCTCCAGTAAAGAGCCCCCACCACTGGGCCTCCCCTTCTCGGAAAGGGCTGGCGTCAGGGAGGAGGGGCCTGTGCTCCTGTCCCTGCAGAGTCAGGATGGAGCCCGTGTTCACCTCCTCCCACCACCCATCCCTGTGGGGGACTAAGGATGGCTGTCCGGTCCCAGGCTGGGGTAGGATCTCAAAGTCGTCCCTGAAGAATGCTCCACTGCGGGTCAGGGCCTGGCCCTGCCCGCCTCACGTCTCCGGGCGAGGAAGGCACGGTTCCGCACCCACCAGGCCTCTGCACATCCACCTTGCCGGAGGGTCGAGGCCGCACGTGCTCCACTGCCGCCCAGTGGGGCCCAGAGAGGGCTGCTGCCCGACACTGCGCCCCTCGGTCTCAGGCCAGCAGACGGCTGTACTCTGCCAGGGCCGAGGACTTTTTCACCCCGTCCCAGATCCGGGCAGCATAGTGGAACCTGTGGATGAGCCGACAGTCAGAGCTGCCCTGGCTGGGCCCACCCCCGCCTTGGGCCCATCTATGACCTGTGATGTGGGCCTGCTCAACTGGGCGACAGGGAAGATGCCAACCCTGACTCCCTAACTGCCATGGTAAGTGAAGCTGCAGATCCGGGACCTGGACTAAAACCTCAGCCCCCACCTCCGAGTCCAAACCTCCCTCCACTCTACCCGGTGCTGGCTTGTGATGACCAGCTGCCTACCCTTCTGCCCCAAATCTCCCTCCCCACTGGTTTGGTTCAGACCAATGGGAGGAGAGCTCCAGCCCACCTCATCCTGCCCCTTCCCACAGCCGAAGGCAAACAGATCCAGGGAACCAAGGCACAGGCTGCACCAAGCCAAGCTCTTGCTTTTTCTGGTTTGTTTCTCTTAGAAATTGGAGGAGGCAAGCCTGCTGTGGGCTCTGGATATAAAGTCACTTAAACGTGGGGCTGGGGAGGGGTGCAGGCTCTAAACCAGGGCAGAGGAGGGAGAACACGGGGCGAGGGGGCGGCAATGAGAACACCTGGTGAAGCTGGGAAATGCAGTCCGGTGGTTCCTGGCGGCTTCTAGTTTCTTCTCCTGTGAGGCTGCTTTCTGCACTGAGGGCCTTAGTGTGAATCTTCTTTAAGCTTACTGTCCTGCTCTTCACAATCAAACCTAACCGCAGGTGTGTGACCTAGCTATGTGACACTTCTCTCTGAGCCTAAATTTCCCACCAGTAAAACCAGGGAGGAAAGGTACACTCCGATGGTTAATTAGGAGGACATGAAATCACATGAAACAATCCTATCTACACATTCTACACTAATAAAAGAGTAGGATAAAAATTGACCATATCTTTGTGATGCCCACCAGCCAATCAGGAGTGCTATGCAAATTGACCCAACAAAGATGGCGGGTTAATTTATACATGCAGGCACCGAGTGGCCAGGGATGGGTAGGGCGCTTTGTCATTGCCATGGCAACAACACAGGCATTCTGCACCACCCCAGCCGCTTCAGGCCTCTGGGCATCATGGGAAGGCAGAAAGGTGGCTCTGGCCAGAATGAAGGTGGTGCTAGCAGCCAGGGGAAGGAAGGCCCATCCTTGCATGAATCTTAGTGCTTTGGGCCTCTAGTCTATAGAATTAAAGGCTAATATGCAAATCGACCAAAGAGCAGATGGCTATGACATGTGCTGACCACCAGGGGGCAGATGCTCAATGCAGGAGCCGTCCCTGGTGATCCGTGTGTCTCTCAGCCAGAAGCCAGGCTCACAGCTGGCGAGCACAGTGGTGGTGCTCTGTGGCAGCACTAAGGAAGTCTAACTGATGGCTTAGGCCTGCTCCCCCAACCTCAGCCGCCAGTCAGACATCCCCCGTCGGCTCCCAGACTGCAAGAGGGTGCAGACCGGGCTGAGGGGACCCCCCTACTCAAATGCACAAATCTCGTGCACCGAGCCTCTAGTGTGGAATATAAATTTAAAGCAACAAATGAACAAAACAAACCCATAGGCACTGACAGCAGTATGGGGATGGCCAGTAGTAAAGGGTGTGGAGGAGGATGGGGAAAGTGAAGGGGCCAAAATATCTGGGGACAGGAGTCTGGACTTGGGTGGTGAGCACACAATGCAAGATATAGCTGACCAGAGTTGATCGTAAGTGTACCATAGAATTATACACTTATAAAACTTAGATAATGCTATTAACCAAAGTTACCCCATTAAGTTTAATTAAATAAAAAAATAACCCTAACCCTAACACTCTTAACCTAACTCTCTAACTATACAACTAACCTCAACCATTTAACACTAAACCTAACATTAACCCTAACAGCCTAACCCTAATACTTACTCTAATCCTAAACCCTAAACTTTAAGCCTTTACCCTACACATAACCCCAAACCTAAGTCCTAAATCAAGCATGTCAAACTCGAGGCTCAGGTTTTACAGCCCACAATGAACATTTTTGCAGTCCAGCCAATATAACAGTATGTAAAAAATGTTTTAATAAAAATTTTGTAACTTAATTTTATAATATCCTGTTATATATAACTAATGACCCAGTGCACAAAATTCGTGCATGGGGGGGAGGGGGTTGTCCCTCAGCCCAGCATGCACCCTCTCCAATCTGGGACCCCTTGGGGGACATCCACCTTGCATTCTAGGACCGCTGGCTCCTAACTGCTCATCTGCCTGCCTGATCACCCTTAACCACTCTGCCTGCTGGCCTGCTTGCCCCCAACTGCCCTCCCCTCCTGGCCTGATCGCCCCTAACTGCTTCTGTTTTGGCCCTGCCACCATGGCTTTGTCTGGAAGGATGTCCGGAAGATCTCTAATTAGCATGTTGCCCTTTTAATAGAATAGATATTGGTATATAGGCCTGGTACACAGGTGCGGGCCAGCTGGTCTGCCCTGAAGGGGGTCTCAGATCAGGGTAGGGCTCCTATTGGGGGGTGGGGCTGGTCTGGGCGAGGGGCTGGGGCCATTTTCAGGCTGGTCACACACCCTTTGGGGTGGGGGGGGGCGCCCCTTTCTGGGGGGTTATGGCTGGCCTGAGGGAGGGGCTGATGGCTGTTTGCAGGCTTGCCACGCCCCCAATCTGAGTGAGGGTTCCCACTGGGGGACGTGGCCGGCCTGGGCGAGGGGCTGAGGGCCGTTTGGGGGTGGTTTGCAGGCCAGCCACGCCCCCAGCTTTGTCCAGAAAGTCTCCCGGTCTAATTAGCATATTACTCCTTTATTCGTAAAGATTAATTCCGAACTACAACGTACGTTAATGACTAATTACTATAATCATGTTGCATTCATTTCCCTTACACGCCTTACACGCAGGTGCACCATTTCTCTCACTAATACCAGCAGCAAATATTTTAGCAGCTGAAGGCCACATCAATAGTCTTGAACTGACTTGTTTGGTGTGCAACAGAAAATATTTTGCTTTCGGAGAACAAGAGAAATAGGCTTGTTTTATGATTTTTAATTTGCATAGTTATTCAGTGTCTGGTAAGTTCATGTTCAAGAAAAAATATTAGTTTTTATTAAAATGTTCTATTTATGTTAATGATTACTCATTGATTTCAGCCCTTTGTATTTAGCATGTCTCTATCAAAATAAACCCACGTTTCTATGAAAATTGAAGCTTTTGTTTTTTTTTTGCAGCCCACATAAGCTTACACCTTGTTTATTTGGCCCGTGTTAGCCTTTGAGTTTGACATGCTTGACCTAAATCCTCAACAATAACCCTACTGCTATCTCTATACCTAACTCTAATCTAACTGCTAAACCTAACCTTAAACTCTGCCCTAAACCCTAATCCTGACCCTAATAATTTTATCCATACAATTTTTTAAAATATATTTTACTGATTTTTTACAGAGAGGAAGAGAGAGGGATAGAGAGTTAGAAACATCAATGAGAGAGAAACATCAGCTGCCTCTTGCACACCTCCTACTGGGCTTGTGCCCACAACCAAGGTACATGCCCTTGACCAGAATCGAACCCGGGACCTTTCAGTCCGCAGACCGACGCTCTATCCACTGAGCCAAACCGGTTTTGTCTATCCATACAATTTTTAAATAAAAATCACCACATGAAACAGCACATTGCCTGGCATGGAAGAGGCCCTTACAAGATGGAAGTAATTACCAATGTTCCAGGAAAGGAAACAATGTAGAGAGAACTCTGAGAACATATTCTGGGCGGGTGGGAGGGAGGAGGTAGGGATGGGGCAGCCCTCCTCTGCCAAAAGCTCTTACCAGTTCTTCTCGGTGAGAATCGTGTGCGACAGCTGCGGCCGGGCCATGGACATCACTTGGCTCCGGAGTTTGCTCACCAAGGACTGGAAGCTGGGGTGGCCGCGGTACCCCGGGAGCAGGGAGAAGAGTGGGCTGGAGCTGGGACCTGCTAAGTGGAGGTAGGAAGATAAGGGGCTTCCAGAAGCCACCGGGGCTCACCCGAGCCTGGCTCTTCCTATCCGCCCACCACTCTGAAACGCTCCTGAAAAAGGGTCCCAGCACCTCAGGGGCAGGTCAGTCTCTCCTCACACCAGGTGGGTTCCTGTCCCCCAGGCCAGGGCGGACCGTGTCGCCCCCTAAAGGTGGACCCATGTCAACCTCCAGACCAAGGAAGCACTGTCTCCCGTGGCCCATTCCCTTGAGGGGGAGCTATACCCGCTCTTGGTGGGTTTTCACTCTCCGCTTCGCTGTCCATGAAGGGCATCAGGAACAAGTTGACCTCGGAGTCCAGGAAGTCCGGGGGGAGCCCGGGGAAGATGTTGCACTGTAACATGGACAGAGTACCTGGAGGAGAGAGCTTGTGAGCCTGCTGGCGCCATGCTGCAGGGGAGGGGCGGGAGGCACATGTAAGATGGCCAAGCTGGGATCAGACTAGTCTGGGATCTGGGCTGTGAGGCTGCACCAGGAGTTAGGAGGCCAGTGGCCAACTTGGGAGTGACGGGGACCCTCACCCTTGTAACGCAAGTGGGAGTGAGCCATGAGCTGGTCGATCATCAGGTGCATCTGCCGCAGCTTTCGGGGACAGAAGTCCTCCCGGCGAGCTTTGTTCTGTAGGAACACTGTGGTAAAGGGGAGAGGGGCCTGTGAGGCTGTGCACTCTCCTTCCCACCCCAAGGATCTGTCTTACCCCCAAGACCACTTGTAAATATTTATGTGACATGGAACTGCACTTGAGCACCAGGCCCTGGGCGATGCCGGGGACCCGGAGGATGAGTCAGATCTGGTTTCTGCCAGCAAAGATGTAAAGACAGAGAGGAGGATGGTCACATGATTAGGAGTATTTCAGAAAAGCACGAGGGGCTCGGCAAGGCCAGAGAAGTGGGCAAGACCCTGCCTGGTGCCCTAAAGGAGCTGGGTCTCTGCAGAAAAGCAGGGCACCCACAGAGCAGAGCAGGAACCGAGCAGGCAGAGGAGCGGCAGGTGGGAGGCCACACAGGGCCAGAGGGAGCACAGGGGCACTCGGATCCCTCCAACACCCACTGAGCCCGTTCGTGTAGATGCCAGACCCAGAAACAGGCAGACGTAGGTCCTGTCCCCCAGCGTCTCCATTCTGACCAAGGAGCCAGACCCAGACTCAGGGTCATGCCCTCAGAGGCCAGCGTGGGACCCGCAGAAAAACTAGTGGCTCATTCTTTCTTACTTCCCTCCGCCCAGCTCCCCACTTCCCATTCCTCGGGCCCCCGAAAGCCTCTCACCCAGGTGGGGGTAGTACTCGGTGCCCTCATCAGAGCCGGAGGAGCTGCTGGACTCATGGCTGGGGGATGGGGTGGAGGGCTTCACCATCTCTGCTGTCTGGAGGAACCTGGGGGATGTTGCATACACACCAGATTTCTCACACAATTGTAGGGAATTCAGACACAAATCTATGGATTTATATCAACTGTATAAATTTTTTATGAGTTTATGCTATTATATTTAAGAGCAGTTTAAGTTCATAGCAAAACTGAGTGGAAAGTACACACATTTCCCAAAGGCCCCTGCCCCCGTCCCCAGCCTCCTTGCTATCAACATTCCATGAATCTACACCGACACGCCATTATCACCCAAGGCCACGGTTCACATCGGGGATCACTGGGTGCGGCTTACTCTTCGGGGTTGGACAAACACGCCATGTTCCACGGTGATCACGGTACTTTTGCTGCCCTAACCGTCCTCTGTGCTCCGCCTACTCACCTCTCCTTCCCTCAGCCCGACCATGGATCCTTCTACCGTCCCCACAGTTCCGCCTTGTTCAGAACGCCAAAGAGCTGGGACCATGCTGAATGGCACCGCCAGGTTGGCCTCCTTTACTTAGTAATATGCATTAGAAATTCCTCCGTGTCTTCCCATGGCCTGACAGCTCATTTCTTTTTAGCCCTGAGTAATATCCCCATGTCAGCATGGACCAGTTTACCGATCCATCACCCATGGAAGGACATCTTGGTTGCCTCTAAAGTTTGACAGTTATGAATAAAACTGCTGCAAACATCTGTGTGCACGTAAGTTTTCAGTTTATGCTACTTTTAGGTGTTTCCAAACATGTGAAAGTAAATACCATTAAGCTGTTATGAGGTAAGAAATGATGGGATATGATGAAATGATGGCCGTTTTCCTCACACACACACACCCAAACACCATGGTCTCCACAATTTAAGGGGTTCACCTACTCTAAGCCCACTGGTAAACTCCGGCTTAAAAGCAAGGCTCTCCCACCTGCCAGCACCTGAGCCCACAGTCCCCCAGAAAGTACACGCCACAGGGCAGTCTGTTTAACGTTGTGTTCACAGCTGACCCCGGTGCCAAGAACAGTGAATGGCATGCATTAATGCTCCATGTTATCTGTCACGTGAATGAATTCCAATGAACAATGGCGCAGGAGCGGAGGTTTCACAATTAGGTAACTTGGACCTGGTCACAAAGCTGGCTCCCCAGCAAACCTCCTCTGACCAGACCCAAACTCCCGCAGCACCCAGGGTTACCAACACAAACACAAAGCCCCATTTAGCCCCAGGCGGTTAGAGTTGTCCTGATATGCCAGGGTTGTGGGTTCTATTCCTGGTCAGGTATAGACAAGAATCAACCAATGAATGCATAAGAAAATACAAAAACAAATCCCTGTTTCTCTGTCTCTCTCTAAAATCAATAAGTAAATTTTAAAAAACACACCTTGTAAACATCAGTTGCTCACTATGTACCAGGCACTATGCTGAATGCTTTAAATTCTTTTAACTCGATCTGTGTAAAAGCCTTGCATGCGGGGAACTGTGGGGAAAGAAGCCACTTCAGTGGGAGCTAGGAGTCAAACCTGGGGCTGCCTGGTTCTGGAGACATCTGCTGCCTTTAGCTCAGCACCCCCCTCCTCAGCCTGGCCCTGTGCCCAGGGCCGTTTGCCTCCCCTCAGCTACCTGCTGGGGCCGAGGCCAAGAAGAACCCTGTGGCCCTAGGTTCTGAGCCAGCTCTGTCTGGGGGCATTTCTGGAACTTCCAGCTGCTTGAGCCAGGACTCCTGCCAGATCCCAACTCCCTCCCTTTTCCTGCCTGCAGGATACCAGCGGATGGTACACATGCCTGCAGGAGATGGATAAGACTCTAAGGACCAGACTAGCCAGCTCCTGCTATTTATTCAACAAATCTGTATTAAATATCTACCCTGTGCCAGGCACTGAGTGAGGCACTGGGGATTCTGTCCTCCTAGTCATCCCTCCATCTTCCTAATCCCCTGGCAACCATGGAGCTTCCATTCTAATGGGGAGACAGACCATAAAGAGATCTACACTATCCTGTCAGCGGTGAAAAGTGCAACGAAGGAAACACAGCAGGGCAAGGGGGGAGGGGCAGAGAGTGCTAGTGAGGAGGTCAGGGAGGGCCCGAGGCTGACCTGAAGGCCATGCGGGAGGGATTCTTTGTTTCTTTTCTTTATTGATTAAGGTATTACATACATGTCCTTATTGATTAAGGTATTACATACGTGTCCCCATTGCCCCCCCCACACACACACACACTCATGCCCTCACCCCCCTGTGTCTGTGTCCATTGGTTAGGCTTATATGCATGCACACAAGTCCTCCCCTTACCCCCCCCCCCCTACCTCCCTTTGAGTTTGATGGTCTGATGGATGCTTTTCTGTCTCTAAGATCTGAGGGCAGAATGTTTCTGGCTGAGGGGTGAGGAGTGCAGAGTCTGAGCTCCACATGGAACAGAGCTGAGGGCACTGTGGCTTTAATGCAGGGGGAGGGAAAGTGGTGGGAGAGCCCTGAGGTGACAGGAGGGTTAGGTGGGAGTGACCCACTCCAACTCCACACACGTTCTGAGAGGGCCCTGTGGCTGCGAGTGGAGCTTGGGAGACTGGGAATGTGGCTGGGACTCTGGGCCCTGTCTCATGGCCAGTCCCCACTCCTACCAGCCTCTCACCTGTATAGACTGAGGTCTGTGAACCAGTCCTGGACGACGATCACCACGTGGCAGACGGTGAAGAGGAAGGCGGCAATCTGGAGTGACTGCGGTGGGGGGAAGAGACAACAGAGCTGAACGTCTCCTCTGCCCAGAGAGGGGTCCCTGGCCCCAGACTCAGCTGAGGCGGCAGCAGGGGAAGGGCCTCAGAGCTTTGAGGCACGCCCTGTGTGCCCAGACTGTGCTGGCACTCTCTCATGGGCCATTCCTAAATCGGACAAAGTTGGAACAATCCCCCCCATTTTCAGAGGAAGACACTGAGGCTGGGAGGGGGGGGGGGCATGACTTTGAGAGGCAGCACCAGGTCTGACTCTGAGTTGTCCTCTTTCTACAGCCGGGCTCTGATGAAGCAGAAACAAGGACAACCCATGCCCAGCCTCTCCCCCACCATTACCGATCTTGCAAGGAAGGGTAGGGCCTCCTGGGCCTAGCTCGGCCCCTCACCTGCATCTCAACATAGGTGTGGGGCAGGTTGTACTCTGGAGGCAGCTTGCGGTCATTGTTGATGAGATGGTCCAAGATGGAGGGGCTCAGGATGGGCTGCAGCAAGAAAGAGAAAAACGGGTCAGGGAAAGGACTGTGGGGCGGATCCTAAGGGTCACGGCTATTAAGTCTCTCACGCTAAAGGCAGAAACATCGCCTCACCTCTCTCAGGACAAAATAAGGTCAGAAACACAAGCGGGCAGCTTCTAGTTAGTGCTAGTCAGCTAGAGGCGGAAGGAAAGTTTCGAAGCAGCCTCTTTCCCCAGCTCTCTTACAAATCACACGGCTCGCAAGTGCCTCATGCCTGACAGGAGAGAACTCCTGGCGCTAACAAGTGGAACATCTACTTGAATGAGTCATGCCCCTCTAACACCCTTCTGTTGTTCCAAACACTTTCAAAACTTCGCTAAGATAATTACTTCGGTAGAAAATGATCAGTGCGACCTGGCTGGGTGGCTTAGTTGGTTGGAGCATCATCATCCTGTACATAAAAAGATTGCGGGTTTGATTCCTAGTCAAAGTGCGTACAGGAGGCAACCAACTGATGTTTTTCTCACATCAGCCGGTGTGGCTCAGTGGATAGAGCGTCGGCCTGCAGACTGAAGGGTCCCAGTTTGATTCTGGTCTGGAGCATGCACTGTGGCTGCGGGCACATCCCAAGGGGGAGGGGTGCCAGGAGGCAGCTGATCGATGTTTCTAGCTTTCTATCCCTCTCCCTGCCTCTCTGCAAAAAAAAATCAATAAAATATATATTTTTTTAAAATTGTACCAGTGAGTGTAAAAGAATCAGCGGTGCACACATGAAACTTTTTGTAAAGGACTATTTCATTAAAAAACTTAAAGAGCTAAATTAGCTTGATAATCCACGGCCTTCTTGCAGTGAGTGGGATTAGGAAATATGCTTTTCCAACTGCTCACTATCTAAAACTCCAAGCACTGCAGTGTTCTGTCCTGTCTTGTTTGCTAACTTCCGTTCTGCCCCTGACCCAGCTTACATGCAGTTCGGTTCACTTCCAGGGCCCATGGTCCCTGCACAGAGCCTGGCACACAGGTCTCGGCCACATTGGTAGGTTTCCCACTCTCCATGTCACCAATGCCCAACGTCAGCACCACCTATGGGACAGGCTCCCGGAGCGCTCCAGGCAGGTGGGGCGGGGGAACAGCACACAGGAACCAAACTGATCATCGGTCTATGAATCAGATCAGTTTGATTCCCAGTCAGAGTATACGCCCGGGCTGCAGAAGGCAGCCAATCAATGATTCTCTTTCATCACTGATGTTTCTCTCTCTTTCCCCCTCTTCCTTCCTCTCTGAAATCAATAAAAAGAAAAAAAAAAGTTTTGTTTTTTTTTTAAAGAACCAAACTGATAAATTACGTGCTGCGATGAGAGGAGAGCACAGGCACTAGTGGGCTCTCAGAGGAGGGGAAGGCTTCCGAGAGCAGGTAACATCCCAGTGAAATATTCAGGGAGAGGGCATTAGCCAAGCAACGTGGGGGAGGGAGGGCAGGAAGAGTGCTCTAAGGACAAAGGCAGTGAGGGACAGGAGCACTGACTACCTACTTTATGGCAGGTGCACTTGTGTTAACTCACTGAAATCCCACAAAAACCCTAAAGGTAGGCAATGTTGTTTCCCACTTAAGAAAAGAAAGCCCACAGGGTCTCTCCAGACCCCCAGCACTGCAGTGTTCACAGACTATGGTGAGCCTTGTGATGGGCGTGGCAGGGCTGGGGACTACAGCAGAGAGGGAAGGCTGGAGGGTCTGGAGGAGGCAATCACATAGGCCAGGCTAAGAGCAAGGGACAAGGTAGGGAAAGCTGCCAGTTAAATGCAGGACAGGCCTCTATGAAAGGTAGCGATGAGCCTGGATGCTCCGCATGTGGCAGATCCTGTGCCACGCACTGTGCCTGGATGGTTCCATGGGATCCTTGCCACAATCCTGAGGCTGGGATGCTTAGCACCCGTTTACAGATGAAAAAACTGAGGTTGGGAGTGGGGGAGGGTGTTGGTTACTTATAGTCACCCAGCTGGTAAGACTGAAAGGCAGAATCCGGACAGACTGATTCCAGGGCCACACTTTAAATTGGCATGCTGGAAGAGTTTTTAGGCTACTCTGTACACATGAAGGGAGAAGAGGGAGGGCAAAACTGTTAAGAAGCTAAGGGCCAAAAAGACATAACTTGTCTTTAAAAACTGCAATCCAAACAGGGCACTGGCTTAAACTATTGTGGGATGGAGCTGAGGGTGCATGCAGCAGGGTGGGGCAAGTGGAGGTCGGCACCTGAGTGTCCAGGAAGACGATCCGCTCTTGGGTAATGAAGAAGTCGATTCCACTGGTCTGGTTGCCCCCTCGTTCCTTCATTTCAGCGCTCTGGGCCCGGAAAACGTACGCCCTGTGGAGGAGCAGGTGGGGAGCACTGGAGTCTGGTTCTCGGCCTTAGACCCTCCAGTGAAATCAGCATGTGGACTGTGGTTCCCTGCCTGCCCACAAAGCCTTCCCCCCACCGCCCTGCAGTCTGGGGACGGAGGGGAGCTATATTTTATGCCACGTGACTCCACCCACTCCCATAAGTATATCTGTTAATTCATTTAACAAAGTTAATAGACTGCAGTGAAGAGCAGGGACTAGGCCTGACTGCTTGGATTCAAATCCCAGCTCTGCCTCTTCCTGTCTGTGTGGCCTCAGCAGATTCCTTTTTTCTTGGTTTCCTCATGTGTAAAATGGGGATAACAGTCTCAAACCTCTTGGTTACTGTGAGCCTAATATATGTAAGGCCCTTAGAAGAAAGTGTCAGATAAACCTGATTTGTGATTGCTAGTCATTAATTACCAAGGGTACCTGCTCTCTGCCAGGCACTGGAAGCCAGCCCCGATACCTCTCCACCACAGAGAGGTTGTTTGGTGTCTTGGTCCTAGTTCTCCCCCATCAGGCGGGGCTCTCACTTCCGCCTGTGCTGGATGCTGCGGGTATGACATCAGAGCTGGCAGAGCTGGGCCTTGTCCTAAACCACCGAGTTCAACTTGGTCACCGTGACTTAGAGTGATTCTGTCTCTTTTGAGTTATAAAATCACGACACCCTACCCCTTCCTGAGATGCTCAGTATGTCCTCTGACACAGAGCAGGTATCTTCCCACTTAGCACCTTGCCGCAGACCTCCTATGTGCCAGACACAGGACGTAGCAGTGAACAAGAAAGACAAAGTCTCTGCTTCCGAGGAGCTTCTGGTCTAGCTTAGGATCAGCATAAGTCAGTAAGTGCAGGGGTTAGGAAGAAGAGGGAGTGAGTCTGTCTATGGAGGAAGGAAGGATTGCCCTAAGAGGCAAATGCTGCTGCTGAGGGTGAGAGAGGAAACTAAGCAACTTAATTAACCTAAAGGGGGACATGGGTGGGGGGATGGAGGACGGAAAACTAGTCCAGGCTGAAGGCATGGTCTGTGCAGGATCAAAGCAGAGTGGGGAGGGCACAGAGGACAACGGGGGTTGCGAGTTGGAAGAGGTACACAGGCCCTGGAGGGGCACAGTGAGGAGCTGGGGCTTTGGCCATGAACCTGGGGAAGCCCTGAAGAAATTTGGCAGAGGAGTGACGGGACTGGATGTGGGTTTTAGAAGAGTGAATAATGACAAGCCCTGCACTCGGGGCCTCCCTGTCTTTAACCTGATGCCCAACTCCCCTTCTTTTTTTTTTCTTTTTAAATATATTTTATTGATTTTTTACAGAGAGGAAGGGAGAGAGATAGAGAGCTAGAAACGTCGATGAGAGAGAAACATCGACCAGCTGCCTCTTGCACACCCCCTACTGGGGATGTGCCCACAACCAATGTACATGCCCTTGACCGGAATCAAACCTGGGACCTTTCAGTCCGCAGACCAATGCTCTACCACTGAGCCAAACCGGCTTCGGCCCAACTCCCCTTTTTGTTCACCCTGCCCCAGCTGTGGGGCCTCCATGCCACTCTGCACACACGCCAGGCACTCTCCCACCCCAAAGGTCCGCACTGCCTCCCTCCGGCTGGAATGCTTTCCCTCCTCCAAGTCTGCTTTTTCTCCAATGCCCCTTAGCGGACCCTTCCCTAACCACCCACCTGAAGACTGTAAAGTAGCCCTCACGCTGCCTCCCTGAGTCCTTTCCCACTGTGTCATCACCTCCTAACACGCCCAAAAGTGTGTTTATGTAGTTAGGTTACTGTCTCCTCCATTACAAATATAAGTCCTGCAAGGACAAGTATTTTTGCTAGTTCTGTTTAATCTCACATCCCAGAACCCAGAACAGTGCCTGCCTCACAGTAAGCACTCCATAAATACTTGCTGAATTGAACTAAAGCAGGGAGACCAGTTAGGAGACTTCTTGGCATCCTCCAGGGGAGATGTCAGTAGCTTAAACTCGGGAGGTGGGAGTGGAGAAGAGAAGCAGATGAATTCTAAAGGTAATTAGGAGGTAAAACTTATGAGACCTGATGACAAAAGTTGGTACCAAAGTCTACCTTGCCACAGGCTGACAGGGGTCAAAAAGACAAGCTAGCCCAGTGGTCAGCAAACTCACTAGTCAACAGAGCCAAATATCAACAGTACAATGATTAAAATTTCTTTTGAGAGCCAAATTTTTTAAACTTAAACTTCTTCTAACGCCACTTCTTCAAAATAGACTCGCCCAGGCCATGGTATTTTGTGGAAGAGCCTCACTCAAGGGGCCAAAGAGCCGCATGTGGCTCGCGAGCCGCAGTTTGCCGACCACGGAGCTAGGCCAATAGAATTCTGGCTCAGGAATCTGAAAGGAGAGTCACAGGACATTCTGCTAGGTGGGGTTGAAAGCTAAGGCTGAGGACTAAGCCTCAGCTTTTGGAGCTGTTCCAAAGCGGAGCCGAGTCGAGCTGAAGTCATGAGTGAGAAGGGGGACGGGGCGACTGGGAGGCAGGGAACTCAAACTCCAGCGCTAGTGGGTATGTGTTCTCACCGCGATGGGCCTTAACCTGTTCTGGGTCTGCATCAGCCCCCCACCCCGGATCCGGTGGAAACTATGGATCCTCTGCCTGGGTGAAACCCCAGACTTCAGATGTGTGTAAAATTCTGCGTTTGTCATTAGGGGTTCCCCGTGGATCCCTGATGCCCATCTGGGGAGTGCAGGGTGCTATCACCTGCTTTATTAAAGAAACAAAACTATTGTTTTGAGATAACCCAAGTGGCTACCACCCGTTCTCTTCCCCCATTTTGAGTCTTCCTACTCTTTAACACCTGCCTTTCTCCCTTTCCTTCTCTGCCCTCAGTTTTGGATCCTAGATCTTAAGCTCCTCCTCCACCAAGTCCTCTCCTGAGACTTCATCCTTTATCTTCATGATCACACCTCATCCTTACTCAAGAATGTAGGACTGAGGCTGGTCTAGAACCCATGCCTTCCATCCACATCTCACATTCTACTTCGCAGGCCGAATCAGCCACATCTGTGAGCATTTGCTCTGTACCAGGCTCTCGTTAGTGTTGGCCTTCCTGATTTTACTTCAAAAACCCACTTTACAGATGAGGAAGGGAGATGCGGGACGTGAAGTAACCTGTCCAAGGTCAATCAGTTGGTGAGCAGCAGGGCTGAGACTGAGGTCCCTTTCCCAGAGACAAATGAGTACACCATCCCAGTTCCTGGCTGTGCTCTGTACATTTTCCCGGGGAAGTAGAAAGGGAGGGAGGACCAGGATTGGTTACCTTGGAACTACACAAAAATTTAGACAGCCCGATTAGTCCTCATCTGATGAAGGCATTGAGGCTAAGAGAGGGAAAGCAAATCCTCAAAGATCTTTAGTGACAGCACTAGGAACACCCAGCCCTGCCCTCCCGTTTCAGGTGGGTGCCCACTTCCCTCCTGGCCCCCCCACACTCCTACCTGATGTCCCCTCACCTCTGGTCCTCCTCAGGAGTGTTGGCTGACAACAATGACATGACCATGGACTTGCCTGTCCCCTGAAGGCCCAGGACACCAACCACCAACACATCAGTCTGATCCAGCAGGTACTGTGGGAAGATGCAGGAATACAGCCCTTACGAATCTGTCAGCTGCTACAGTGGGAATGAGATGAAGGGGCTCCAGACTTCCATGGCTTGCCCACCTGTCTCATCAGGTACGAAGAAGAAAATTCTTGCCCTCAATGTGTGTGTGTGTGTGTGTGTGTGTGTGTGTGTGTGTGTGGTGGGACACATAGAATATTTGGGGCACAAAGAACAGCATATGTGAGAATTCCAGAGTAGAAAAGAGCCTGGCTGGTCACGAAGCTAATAGGAACTCAGTGGGAAAAAGGGGAGCGTGGCCTCTGGGAAGAGAAGGGGAAGCACAGGAACGAAGGACAGGTTCAAGGTAACTGAGGCTATCAGAGCTGACTCCAGGAGGCTCTCTGCTCAGTCAGGCTGGGACAGCATGGGAAGGAAGCATGAGAGAGGGAGCAGTGTGCAGAAACGGGAGGTCAGTCCATCCTGGCTCTTTCTATGGGATTCCAGTCCTGGAAATTTGTGAGACCTTCACCTCTGGGCCAACTCTGCTGATTTTCACCACCAGGGGGCATAAGAGACATTACTCAAGGAAAAGGAATAGAGCAGGTCCTTGAGAAGCATAATTTTTTTATAAGGTTAATGAGAAAGAAAAAAAAATTCCCAGCAAGGGTCACTAACTGTGTGGAGTTTGTATGTTTTCTGCATGTCTGCATGGGTTTTCTGTTGGGAATCCGGTTTCCTCCCACCTCCCAGGGATATGCAGTTTAGGTGAACTGGTGTGTCTAAATTGTCCCAGTAGAGTGTGAGTGTGTGTGTGTGTGTGTGTGTGTGTGTGTGTGTGAGAGAGAGAGAGAGAGAGAGAGAGAGAGAGAGAGAGAGAGAGAGAGAGAGAGACTGGCCCTTCGATGGCAGAACTGTCCTGGGTGGGTTCTCACCTTGAGCCTGAGCTGTAGGAATAGGCTCACCTGTGACCTTGAACCAAATGGAATAAGGGGGTTGGAAAATAAACACCTGACTTGTTTTTATTCATCATTTAGGTTTCTTAAAATTAATAAAAGCATTTATTTCAATGTTTAATGTTAAAAGTGTTTTTAATGTTAAAAGTTATTTAGAAATTTGGTGATGTTTCTGTGACCAGAAATAAGCCATAAGACCTTAACTCTTGTTCATATCAATTAACCTAGGCCCTAGGGCAGTGTTTCCCAAACTTCTCTTCTGATGAGAATCATCTGTGCCCTGGTTAAGTATACAATCTAAGCTTAGAGCACTAGTTAAGTGTACAATTTTACCTATATGTTCCCAAAAATTCTAGTTTAGCACTTCTTAGTTGGGATTCAGGAATCTGAATTTTAACAACTCCACCGGTGATTCTCATCATGAGAGGAGTTTGGGAAACACTGCCCTAGGGTAAAATCGGTTTCATTATACCTCATTATGCTTAAAGTCGCAGTTTCCAAGACCTTATGTTAAATGAGGATTCACTCTATGTTCTCAACTGTGGCTGCTGCTCCTTAGAATCACCTGGAGAGCTTTTTTTTTTTTTTTTTTTTTTTTTTTTTTTTTTTAAAAAAGGCAGCTAATCCTGGGCCTAACTCTGAACACATGAAAGCAGCACATCTAGGGCTAGCCCTGCCACTGACCACATGTGGCTATTTAAATTAAAATTAAACAAAATTAGCCAAAACCGGTTTGGCTCAGTGGATAGAGCGTCGGCCTGTGACTGAAGGGTCCCAGGTTCGATTCCGGTCAAGGGCATGTCCCTTGGTTTCGGGCACATCCCCAGTGGGGGGTGTGCAGGAGGCAGCTGATTGATGATTCTCTCTCATCGATGTTTCTAGCTCTCTATCTCTCTCTCTTCCTCTCTGTAAAAAATAAAATATATATTTTAAAAAAATTAAACAAAATTAAAAATCCAATTCCTCAGCTGTACTAGCCACTTATTGGGACATGTGGATCAGTGCTCAATAGTCACATACAAGGATAACGGCTACCACACTAGATACCACAAATACAGAGCATCTTTACAGTGCTAAAGCAGGGCCTGGACACTGGCTCCTTTTTATTTTTTTAGAGTGGACAGGAGGAAGAGAGATAGCGAGAGAGAAACACATTGATTGATTGCCTCCACATGACCCCCAATCAGGGTCAGGGATTGAGCCTGCAATTAAGGTAGGTATGTGCCCTTGATTGAAATTGAACCCAGGACCCTTTAGTCTGTAGGCCGACACGCTGTCCTCTGAGCCAAATCGGCTAGGACTGCCTCCTTAAAAAACAAAACAAAACAAAACAAAACAAAAAACACTCCCCAGGTGATATCAATGTGAGAGAGGACACACAGAGGCAGCAGAGCCAGGTAACAGGTGGGCCTGGCATGTTGTCCCAATAAGTCCAAGCTGCTGGGGAAGGAGGCGGCACACCAGGTGAATTGACTAGGAGCCTGATCTGACAAGTCTGGCGATGGGGGGAGAGCAGCAAGAGGCGAAGTGAAGAGTTGGAGACTGGAGGTAAGTATGTCAGCCCAGGAAAGGGAAATCTGAACCAGAGCAGGGCACTGGGATGGAGGGGGAACCTCTGGGGAGTGATATTCAAACCAGTTAACACTGGTACAAGTGCTTCCACCAATTGGGAGGGAGACTGAAGCAGGGTCCAGGAGGCCACCCTGCTGTGGGAGGGCGGAGGAGACCCCCAGGCATCTAGGAGGCAGTGGGAGCACCTCTCAGCCAACCAGTATGAAAGGTCAGTACCTTACCAACCAGTACAGCTGAGCTAGTGAAGCTACTGAAATTCAGCCCTGGCCGGTGAGAGCTTCCGGATCCGTTTCCTCTCATCGCTGCAACTGCCTGAAAGCTTGTCTGGTGTAGCCCACCAAGAGGCTGGAGGTATGGGGTGGTGGGGGTGAGGCTGTGGGACCTGGGGAAGTTCAAGCACGAGAGACCCATTCCCCCCATACCTCAATGGCACTGTCGCACCAGTTCATCTGGTCATCCACCAACTTGATGCTGTGCTTCATGCGCTCGGGAGGCAGCAGTTTGGCCTGGCCCACGACAGCTGGAAACAAACAAAGCAGGAGACAGAGGAGGCGGTGAGGGTCTGTGCGGGGGTTCCAGTTCCCAACCAGATTCTCTTCAGTCCCAACTCACGGTCCATAACAGCTGGCGCGGCAGTGCCCATGCCCCGGTTCTGGATCTGGTACACAGGCTGCGTGGGTCTCTGCCCCTCCTTCTCCCCCTTAGGTAGCACGGGGGCTGCAGGGGGCGGGGGGGTGGTGCCCTCGGGGGCTGAGGCATTTGTTGCAGCTGCAGGCCCTTTGCCCTCCTCCCGTGGTTTCATCAGGACGATGGGCTTCTCAAGAGGGGCTGGGGCAGGTGGGGCAGCAGGGGCCGCTGGAGGTGGTGGCTGCTTTGACTGTGAGTGAGGAGTTTCCAATTAGTGGGAGAGATCCTTGACCCATTACTCCCAACCTCCCCCCTCCCCCCCAAGATTCTTCCCTGCTCACCCGCTCTGCCGGAGGTTTGGAGAGGATGATGGGGGTTTTCTGCATGATGGAGGCACCTGTCTCTTCGCTGCCATCCTGTGATGAGGGAGGGCAGTTACTCCACTGGCTCTCCTAGACACCACTCTGAAAGCCTTTATGTGCCAGGTACTATTCTTTTAGTACATGCTTTTATACATTAACTTCCTCAGTCCTACCAACAATCCTGTGAGATACATACTATCATTTTTTAAAAGTATTTTTTAATTTATTTCAGAGAGGAAAAGAGAGGAAGAGACAGAAACATGAATGATGAGAGAGAATCATTTATTGGCTGCCTCCTGCACACCCCACACTGGGGATCGAGCCTGCAACCCAGGCATGTACTCTGGCCAGGAATCGAACCGTGACCTTCTGGTTCATAGGCTGATGCTCAACCACGCTGGTCTGGCAGATACATACTATTATTATCTCCAATGTACAAATAAGCAATTGAGGCAGATAGGTTAACTGGCTAGTCACACAGCCTTATAAGCAATGGAGGCAAAACTGAACCCTGGCAGCCTGACTCCAGAACCCAACAGCTCTGTGCAGCTACCTCTGCTAGACAAGCCCAGGGGGAAGGAGCAAGGACTGGAGCTAGACAGATCTTGGTTCAGACCCAGCCCTGCCACTTGTGAGCTGTATGAATATGGATGAGGAATACCCTCACTTAGGCCTGTTTCCTCCTGGTGAGGCTATTATGAGTCTGAAAGAAGACAGAATTCATCATCTGCCCATGTGGCATATCTGACACATGGCAGGTGCTCACCATCTGAGAGCTGCTGGTAGCACCTGCTATTCTGACCCTCTTCTCCTCAGCCCTGCTCTTGTGCTGGCCAAGCCCATGGACTGATTCCCATACCTTGCCCTCTCTGAGCCTCTTCTGACTCACCCCAATCTGCTTGAGGAAAGGGAGCTGTGAGTTTGAGTGCTATTCTTTCTCTGGTTTCTTGATTAAACTTGGGAGAATCTTGACCTCTCACTGGGTCTGTTTCTTCTCCCACATAGTGAAGATTATTTAAGCTCCCTCAAAGCTCTCTTCACTGGCCTCTGGTGAAGAAAAGAACAAAAGGGTGATATGCAAGTGCTCTGGAAAAGACAGCGGCAAGAGAACTGTTGGAGGGAAGGCTGTGGGCTTCCAGGTGGCCAGGGTGACAGGGGAGGAGGTGTAGGAAGGAGTAGATGATACTGGGACTGAGGCAGTGAGGGTGGACAGAAGATGATGGATAGGATATAAATCCAGGAGGCACGATGTGCAGCACTGGTGCCTGACTGGCGTAGGATTGGGAGGCAGTGTCCAGGATGTGGCCCAACAGGTTGTCATTGATACTAGGAGGAAAAATGGCAGAAGGAAGATGCTGAGGTCAGCAGGAGACATGAAGGTTGTGAGGAGTCCATTGGCCAATTAGGAGGCTGTCAGGGCTCCGTAGTCAAGTCAGAGACAAAGCAAAGATTTGGGAGTTTTGTTTAGGGTCTGAAGGTATAGGAAGATGGCAACATTCCCCAGAAGATGTGTTTGGAAGAAAGACTGCGTTAGACCCAAGGGAAGAAACAAGCAAGACACTAACTCCCTGTGAATAAGTTATTCTTTTTAAAAAATATTTTTTATTGAATTCAGGAAGGGAGTGGGAAACACCAATGATGAGATAGAATCATTGATTGGCTGCCTCCTACATGTCCCCACCTGGGGATCGAGCCTGCAACCCAGGCATGTGCCCTTGACCAGAATTGAATCTGGGACCCTTCAGTCGGCAGGCCGATGCTCTATCCACTGAGCCAAACCAGCCAGGGTTACCGGTGAGATAATTTATTCTTCATCTTTGCAGTTTTATGACTCAGAAACTGGTCCCAATTGTTACCTTCTTCCACCCCACCAAACAGCTTTCAGAGGTGGGCAGGCCACCAGAGGAAAAACCCAGGGGTAGATCCTGGCAGGAAGTCATCTAAGCACCAGAGAAGAGCAAGGAAGGGCCTGGGCCACACCAAGGCCCTGATTCCCAGTCCAGGACACTCTGGACAGGCAGGTGGTGCTCTGCTTAAGGCTTAGCTGGATTTGGGTTCGAGTCCTGGCCCTAGAGCTTACTGGCCAAGACTTAGGGCAAGTCCCTTCCCCTCTGAAGCTCAACTTCCTCCTTAGTGAAAATCGCATTATTGGTAGCTGTAGAGTTCAGGAAGACCCGAAGGATGGAAAGCACTTTGCACAGTGTCAATACACTACCTGCTGCTCAATAAATAGAAACAGTTATTGTTATTGTCTCCAACTCTCCAATGCCCATTTCATCCCTTGAAATCCAAAACCGTTTCCATGGCTTCCCATGGCCTACCAGGTCCTACATGATCTGGTCCCAGTTACCTCTCTGACCTCATCCTCCGATCATTTTCCCTCCTTCATCCTCTGCACCACACTGGCCTCCTGGCTTGAACACACAGATACAGGCCTCAGGGTCTTTGCTGTTCTGTCTAGAATGCTCTTCACTCAGGTTTTTATCAGTGCTTGTTCTTTCACCCCAATCAGGTCTCTGCTCTTCAGAGAAGCCTTCTCTGACCACCCCATCTAAGACAGCTCCCTTTTTCACCCTCTACCTTCTTACTGGCTGAGGGCAGTCGGTTATGTTCACAATATCCCCAGCATCCAGATTAGTGCCTGGCACGTGGCAGGTGCTCAGTAAACATCTGTGGAATGAGTGGCTACAGAAATGCTATGCTTGGGACTAGAAACTCACCCGTCTCTCTCTTTCCCATGGTGCAATGTAATCCCTCTCCCGACCTCCAGGCCCAGAGAGGTTCTGGGGGCCGCCGGCGCCAGGCTCCTTCCACCGCCGCCGCCTCTCCAGGCCATAGGGCCCAGGCTGGCTGTGACCAGACTCGGACATGATCGCCTACAGAGAGAAAGAGATTGAGTCCAAGGTGAACCACTCCATTTGGTTCACCCTGGACCGTAAGAAAATATTTCAAGAGAGCTCTGTAGCTGTGCCTGTGACTGCCAACTGGCTCCCAATATCACTTTTTCCAAAAAATAAAACCCTCAGTTCTGAGCTGGGTATCAGCATCCTCTGCAGGTAGGATGTCCCTGTGACTAAGCTCTTTCTGGTCAATGATATGACAATGGACGCGTGATGGCAGCTCAGAAACTTTCCTTCACAGACGCTCGCCCATGCCTTTTGCGCCTTCCTCCTCCTGGCTGGAAGGAATGTGGATGTGGAGGAGGGGGCTCAAGCCGCCATCTTGGACTGTGAGGCAACTTAATGGGAGGAAGGCGGGTAGAACAAGATATAAGGTTCAGGGATCCCCTATTAACCTTGAATTGCCTACCTCAACATTCATAAGAAAACAAATACACTTCTACTTGTAACCAAAACTACTCCCAACTATCAATTGCTTTGTCCCAACGTATATATAATTCATAGAGGCAGGGTCACATAAAAATAGGACATTCTCTTTGTAAAGCATTCCCTTACAAATCAGCAGCATGATCCTCCGTGAGCCAACTCCTCTTTTGATGAACGCTTACTGGCTTTTGGAGACGGGACTCCAACATTCAAGGGCCTGTTTTCATCTGGTGTGCCTCAACATTCCAGTGTTGTTACCTTCCTTTCCTGGTGGTTCACCATCCATTACACTCCAAGTCTCACCAGTGTTCGCGCTATAAAACGTATGTCATCTGTGTGACCCTCTCCCTACCACTTAAGTGACTGTCTACAGGCACCGGGCACTTTCCCGGGTGTTTAGGCACCATTCCAGGGAAGTCTGAGCGCTTGTCTGTCTGGTTACGGGGCTATAAGGCCAACTGCTACTGCTCATGGGTCAAGTTGGCAAACCACAACCTAAGAACCAAATCAGCTCTGCCTTTTGTTTTGGTAAGTAAAGTTTTATTGGAACACAGCCATCAGTTCACAAATTGTCTAAGGCTGCCTTCTTGATTCAATGCCAGAGCCAGTATGGCTTACAAGTCTAAAAGAATTCCTCCCCAGCCCTTTGCAGAAAAAGCCTGCTGACTCTTGCTTAGTGAGCTCTCAAGTGCCTGTGAAATCAGTGAATCCCCTCCCATCCTATCCCAGTACAAGGTAACATGAGCGACTTTTTCTAGAACGGAAGTGTCTGTTGACAGGATGCAGGAGTACTTTTGCTCGCCAGGTAGGGACTTGCCTAGCTACTCTCACTGTTCTGTGACCCCCTTCCCCAGCCACAAATGGGCCTGAAGACTGGAGGACACTGCATTACAAATGTTGATGGAAATGATTCAGACTTAAACGACTGTTTACAATCTCAGTACGAGATTCCCTGCAGAACTTGGGACTCCGGGCTTCCTCCCTGGCAATTAAGCGTCTGTGGACTCATTCTCTGACGTCTGCAGTACCTAAGTGTCTGTTTACAGCCTCAGTGGGGATTCTGTCCCCCACGGTGTTTGCGTACCTACAGGCCCCCTTCCCATGCAAAGAAGTGCCCATTTGCGTGTTATTCCAGAAACTTCCACAGTATTTAGGTCTATTTAACAGCCCCATGTGGACAGTTACCTAGAATAAGGGTCCACCTACATGCAACTTGGAGGCCTTCACTGTTGTTTCCAAGCTCCTTTGGGGATTCCCCCCAAAACGTATAAAGCCCATTTATTTCTAAGTGTCTATTGACAGGATCCATGGTGACCTCCCAGAAACGGGAGTCAAATTACACATTTCTTTGGAAGGGGCCGGGGTCTCCTCAGTACGTATACATCTCTGCGCGCGCGCGCACACACACACACACACACCCCTTTTGGGGATCTCCCAGAATCCAAGTTGTCTACTTGCAAATTATTTGAGGGGAGACTCCCAGTTCCTAACTCCGAATTTATGCCCACCCTAAGGAAGCACTCGGGTCTGCACGCTTCTTCTGCGGACTCTCTGGCACACAAACATCTTTACAGGCCCCTACAACGGGTGGGTCTTTATTCAGGAGACTTCCCCCTGCAGGCATGACGGACCCTGTGACACTGACACCGCATCTGAAGGGATCTGGAGTGGCTCCCTGGCCCTGGAGGAGGGTCTGCTTGCAGGCGCACCCCCACGGCTTCAGTTCCTCTCGACACGTTTCCGTTTGGACCGCCGCGCGCTTTATAACCAGCTGGCGGGCCCTCCGTCCCAGCGCCTCCCAGAACCGAAGTTTCTAGTTCCCGGTTAACGTCCACTCCCCTCCCCAACCCCCGCCCGCCAAGCCGGCGGCGTTCAGCGCGCTGCTCCTGGCTCAGAACCCGACCCCGCAAAACCCGCGGACGTCCGCCCCAGCGACGGTTTAACGGTCAGGAAGGGGGCGGGCCCTGGGGCGCCCCCGCCGGTGCGCCGGCCTCGCGCGGGCACGCGGGCCCCTTACCTAAGGCGGCTGCTGATTGGTCCGTGGGACGCGGCGCGCCCTCTCCGTGGCGGGGGTGGGGAGGGGAGGTCCCAGCAGCGGCCGACCGCCCGTCAATGGCGTCTGAGGGGCCAGGAGCGTGGGTGAGACAGAAAAGCAGGTGCCGGTCACTCCGGAGCCGGCGTGAGCATCCCGGAAGCGGCACCCGAGGAAAACCGGCCCGAAGGAGGAAGAGGAGGCGGGGTTACCGCGGGGCCAATCAGAACGCAGGTCCCGCGAGCGCGCGCCCGACGGAGCATGCGCTGTTGGAGGCGGTTGGCCTCGGCGCGCCTGCGGGTTCCGGAGGGCGGGCGGGCGGCGCGGCGGCTCCGCCTCAGTGCGCGTGCGTGTGCGCGTGCGCGTGCGCGTGCGCGTCGGGTGGGAAGGGGGGCCGGAGTGGGTGTGCGGAAAAGAGGGAGAGAGGGCGGCCCCGGAGATTGAGGTTCGAGTCCCGCCTCCTCAGTGGTTTTGGCGGGATGCGGTGGGGTGGGGCGGCCCGGAGGAATTTCAGTGTCCTGGACCAAGTATGTGCTGAGACAGTAATGAGTCCGGTCTGGCGTGGCGCCGCATGAGTGTGCTCCCATTCTGTGCAGGGAGACAGCTAGAGGTTCAAGGCACTTAGTAAAGGGTGCAGGGCCGGTTGGACCTTGAAGCAAGGATGTAACCTCCTCCTCGGTCCCCCCAATAAAGGTCCAGACTGGCTTAGACTTGGAGTTCCCCCGAGATGGCAATTGGGATGGACAGGACGGAACCCTAAGGGGATCCAGAGAGACGTGGAGTGGAGGGACAGGACCGCTTATTAAATCCCACAAGGGCCTCGGACATAAGAGGGGTCCAATCAGGAGTGGAAAATGCAAAAGCCTGCAGGCAGAGAGTCCTGTGCGCGCCCAGTTTGCAGCCTGTGGAGTGCGCATGCGCAGACCAAGTTGGCTAGGGTGGTTGGTTCCCCAAGGGAATGAGAGATTGTTCAAGAGAAGAAATGTGTATGGTGTATTCATATGTAATGTGTATGATAGGTGAGTGGGGAAAATATAATTTTTCATTTGAAATTTTATTTAAAATTTTTTTAAAAATTACACCTGAACAGAGAACGCATACATTCTGGCAAAATTCAAGCAGCCAGTAAAACACAAGTAAGTCTTCTGCCCTGGTATTCCATTCCTAAAGCACCGGTTCCCAGTTTCCATCTGGAGCTACGGTTAGAGCAAAGCATTGTAGTGAGAGCTTGGATCTGGGTTCACATATAAGGCTGCTGACCTTAGCTAGATTCCTTAACCTGCTCTGCCTTCTATGTCCCCCATTTCTGAAATGGAGGTGACAGCAGCTCATACGAGGTCATTGGCAGCGTTAAATGGGTGAAAGTGCCCAGAACAGTGCCTGGTACATAGTTGCACTGCTAGTATATGTTGTCCTTATTTTGTGGTTCATAATAATGCTAGTGATTGATTCTGAGTCAGCCTCTCCCCTCTGTGCCTCTTCCCTGCTGCCATGTTCTCAGCACTGGTGTCTGGTGGAACGGGCTGGGTGAAAACACCTGTCACACAGAGTTGAGAGTACTGTTGTTTATGGATTCTTCAGGAGGTTGGGGGTGTTTAGGGGAGATACACATGACAGGCCATCTTCGTATTATATCTGTCAGTGTCCCTTTTTAGCATCTTCATCCAGCTATATCTGTTTTTCTTATCTGAATTTCTCAACCCCAGCTAACCCTCCATGCCACTTCCACACATGGCAACCCTCCGAGGTGGCTATGACTTACGGGAAAATAAGGAGCCTGGCACTGACCATGGGCCCACTGTGTACCAGGCTCTATTTTATATACTAACATATTGTAGAGGGCCCCTTGGGAATGCACATGAATGACCTTTAAATTAATGTCAGCTGAGTCACGGTGACTGGCATGGCCGTCCCCCAGAAACAACCTCCCAAAATGTCGGAGACCGTTATCAGCTCCTATTTCTTATCTTTATCCATGAGTTTGGAATGAAGAACGAATAGGACCTTGACTTACCCAGGCCTTGATATGCTAAATCCCAGGAATGAGGGAATGAATAGGACCTGGGCACACCCAAAACTCCTTTGACCTTAAAGCCCCCTCTGGAAATCAGTACATGCGCTGTATTCTCTGTGGTGGGTGTTGACCATCTCTCCATCAGAGTGGCAGCCCCCAACCTGGATCCCAGCTTGAATCTATTTCTGCCTCTTGGTCTCTTTCTTTTTTTTTTTAATTTCTTAATCCCCAGCTCCTCCACTCAGGAACCTGTCGTTTTCCATGTGGGTCACGGAAAAGAGAAACAGCCCCCCGCAATATATCACTGCCACCTTCCTCCCTACCCTATTTTACAGATGCGGAAAAGGAGTCTGAAAGAGAAGCAGGGCCTTACCGAAGGACCAAAGCCAGGCAGCAGCAAGCTTGTCTTATGCTGGGCAAACCAAATTTTTTCTTCCCCTGGCACTGGGCAGGCTGCCTAGTGGTGAGTCAGCCAAGTATCCAGAGAGTGCTTGTATT